CTTGTATGTGAAGTGTGAATTAAGAATACCCCTCCGAATTTTAATTTTATATTGAAAAAGTGAGTTGCATGGGGAGGAATAATTTTTGTGATAACGTTTTGGCTCTTTTGGTGACTCTTTGCCCACTAGTTGGCATGGTATTGCTCTAGATGCTCTTATTAAGAAGTAAAATTAATTTGTCTTGATTAGTTCATGTGCCATGTGTGTTAGTTTTTGTTATAAATAATTCTTGTGTTTACTTCTATCATCTAGAACTTGCCCGGTTGGTCTTTCAATGCTAATGTTAATTATGTTTGATTGGAGGGATGACCTTAGGAATTATTTGTGATCTTTGAAAAAAGCCTCTTAAGCCTTTCAAGCCTACCATTGCATAAATATTATCACTAGTTTACCCTATTTGAGCCTTTAACTTTTTCTTTGGCCACCTCATTACAAACATTTACCCTTTTGTGAAATAATTCCCTCTTTTGAACCTGTCCCTCCTTGAATATTGAGAATGAGGCTAAAAGCCTAAGTTGGGGGTGTTGGTATTAAGTTGAAAATTGGTAAGGTTGTACGTTGAGTGTAAAAACATATACCTCAAAGTTGTTCATAGGAAGTTACTCAAGCTACAAAAGAATAAGAAAGAAGAGAAAAATATGTAGATATATAAATATGGAGTCTTGAGAAAATTTGAGAGGTACTTTAGGTGGTTCTATGTTGGTAACTAGATGCCAATAAGGGTGATGTGGTTTAAAAAGAAGTAAAGTACAAAAAGAAAGACAAATGTGAGTAGTGTTCAAGGAGGGTATAGTCACTTGTATCCCAAATGCTTATCCAACCCTTCCCTAAACCTACATTACAAGCTTAAAAAGTCCTTATGGGATCTCCAACCGAATGTTCTTGAATAGGCTGCGAATTAAAATAAGGGTAATATTATGGCATGATATTTTGTAATAGTTGCAATTCTTTATTGAGAGTGAGTGTCTTTGTGTATTTGTCCCGTGTGTTGTATTTGTAAATATGGTGATTTTGGGACTTTTTTTCTTATGAGGGCACATGAATTAGAATGGATTGGTGATATTGTTTTATCCCGAAATGAGTAAATTGAGCATATGTAGTAGACTAGTACTTTTGAGTCACTTCTTGAGACTTTTTGTCGTCACTTGATTATTTTGAAACTCCTTTGCATTTCTTAAAGTTATTGGAGAATGTGATTTGTGTATGATAGCAATGCCACTTGTGCTTTAAATGGTAGAACCTCATTGAATTGTTGGTTTTGATTTGCTTGAGGACAAGCAAAAGCTTTAAGTTGGGGTGTTGATGAGTGGTGATTTTACCATTTATTTTAGTCTCTTTTCTTTATATTTTGTGTCTTTTAATTATAATATGAGGTTGTTTATGGTGTGTATTGGTAGATTTTCAGATAAATGATGCCATGAAGAGAGTTGAATTCAATTGATACCTTCAGTGATTCCGCATCTGCGGAACACTGTTCGCATATGCGAACTCGTATCTGCGAGGTGGAAGGCCGCATATGTGGAATTAAGCTTCCTTCCTTGGGACCGCATCTGCGAAAGAAGAACCGCTTTTGCGGTAGCACATCTGCGCATAAAATACGCATTTGCGATTGCGCATATGCACATGCAAGTCCGCTTATGCGGAGCCAAAGTTTCCCTTCAATGTTCGCATCTATGATAGGCTATCCGCATCTGCATGGATACTTCCGCAGGTGCGGTCAACGGGCTTCAGACCTAGGCAGACTTGGAAATTCACATCTCCTCAATTCCAAACCCACAAATATACGACCTTGCAGATCTTTTGGATATCTTTGGCTTATTTTTCAGTCTCTTAGACTAGAGAAGACAAGTTTTGAAGCTAGGGTTCTTGCACACATACTTGGGTCTTGAAGATTTGAAGCTTTTGGTTGAGAATTTCTTACTCATTTATGCTCATTTCTTCATTTCCTTGCTTTGTATTGAATATCTAAGTGTGTAATATTTTTCCAACACTTGAATCTTGTTTATGAAAATATTCAGTTTAAAGTGTGGATTAAATATCTTGTTGTGCTTATGTGTTGAACGATTTTTAGCTATATTGAAGTGAGTTATTGTCTCTTTAATTATTCTTGTTCTTTAATGTTTCCAAAGGGATTATCTAACCATAGGACTCACCCATTAAATTTGAACTAACTTTGGGAAATATAATTTGGGGCTGGGAAAGATTAATTAACAAGAACTTAAGGCTTTAACCCTCACTTTATAGATTCTACCTAGGAATAATATTGAACTACTTGTAGCCATATTCGGGTGTGCTTAATATCTTAATTGTTTTAGGGATAATTCAATTAGGAAGTCTTGTTAGTCTTCGGAAGAAGCTAATATAGAATTATTACCCAAGGCTAATTAACATAAACTCGCTCATATTTGTAAAATCGTGAAATACATTGGATTGTTACTTGAGTGTAATTCCCGATGCATCTATACTTGTAGCCATTGATCATTCTACTTGTTTTCTAGGTTAGTTTACATTTTCGCATTTAGCTATAATATTTTCTCAACAACTATTCTAAGTGTTTGGCATTGCATAATAAATGATAGTTATCTTACATTCCTAATCGCCTGTATATTGTTCTATGTGGGATTCGACCCATAGTTGGGTAAATTATATTGTATGTGACCGTGTCAAAGGTACTCTTGGCCATTCTACCAGCAGTGTTATCTCTTATGTGAAGGCTCGAGTTGAAGGAATTGAAGGAGCAGTTGCAAGATTTACTTGATCAGGGATTTATCAGACCTAGTGTCTCGCCCTGGGTGCATCGATGTTGTTTGTAAAGAAGAAAGATGATTCAATGAGGATGTGTATAGATTATCGGCAGTTGAACAAGGTCACTATCAAGAACAAGTATCCGTTGCCAAGGATTGATGACTTATTTGATCAACTTCAGGGTGCCAAGGTATTTTCGAAGATTGATTTAAGGTCTGACTATCATCAGTTGAAGATTAGGGCATCTGATGTCCCTAAGACAGCTTTCCGGACTCTGTATGAGCATTATGAGTTCCTAGTGATGTCATTTGGGCTGACAAATGCCCCAGCAATTGAGCTACCTGATTCATTCTCACCGGAGGATTTCCTTGCTATATAACTTCAGTGCTTAGAAGTTCAGGATAATTCTGCTATTTCATACCATGCTTTGGCCGGTGGTAGTTCTTCTACAACTCTTCGATTCAATGGCCATGTACAGGGTTCGCCGGTGCAGGTGCTTGTGGATAGTGGAAGCACACATAATTTTGTCCAAACCCGTATGGCTAAGTTTCTCAATCTGCCCGTGGAAGCTATAAAGCCTTTTGCAGTAATGGTTGGAAACAGTCAGCGCCTTCACTGTGAGGGCGTAGTCCGTCAAACACCAATAGTGATCCAAGGTGGTGAACTGATATTGGACCTTTATGTCTTGCCTATGCAAGGGGAGGATATTGCTTTGGGCGTTACATGGTTAGGATCACTGGATCCAATCTTGACTGATTACTCTGCTCGTACAATGGAATTTTTTTCATCAAGGCCAAAAGTACAGCTGGCTTAGAGAACCGCCAGTTGAAGCCCAACCAGTCCAGTTACAAACATTACGACGCCTATTAGAGGTTGAAGTTGTTTCCTCTTATTTTTGTTTAATGATGATCACAACTGATGAGTCGGGACTTCCTCCTCTGCCACCGAATTTACAGTCCCTTTTGGAGGAATTTGAAGATGTATTTACCAAACCTCAAGGTTAACCTCCGGGCAGCGCACAAGACCACGCCATTCGTCTACATCCAGGTTCAGGTCTAGTTAATGTTAAACCGTACCGTTACCCATATTTTCAGAAGCAAACAATGGAGAAATTAGTTTCTGATATGCTTGCAGAGGGAATTATCCGTCCTAGCACCAGTCCATTCTCGTCCCTTATTTTGCTCGTGCAGAAGAAGGATGGTACATGGCGATTTTGTGTAGATTATTGGGCCTTAAATTCCATAACTGTGAAGGATAGGTTTCCCATTCCGACTATTGATGAACTTTTTGATGAATTACATGGTGCGACTTACTTCTCAAAGCTGGATTTATTATCTGGCTATCATCAAATCAAGGTTCGACCTGAGGATGTTGAGAAGACTACATTTCGTACTCATGAAGGGAATTATGAGTTTCTAGTAATGCCATTTGATTTAACAAATTCACCGTCCACTTTCCAAGTTATAATGAATTTTGTTTTTCGCCATTTCCTTCGTCGCTTTGTCTTGGTTTTCTTTGACGATATTTTGGTCTATAGTCGGACATGGAATGACCATTTGCAGTACTTGACTCAAGTTTTCCTGCGGCTCCGCGGACATAAACTGGTCGCTAAGCATTCCAAATGCATGTTTGCGCAACCTCAAGTTGCCTATCTTGGTCATGTGATTACTGAGCAAGGTTTGGCTGTGGACCCTACAAAAATTTCAGCTATTATACAGTGGCCAACTCCTAAGGATGTTAAGGGTGTTAGAAGCTTGTTAAGCCTAGCGGGGTACTATCGTCATTTCATTCGACAATACGCCACAATTGCTAGCCCCTAAACTGATTTGTTGAAGAAAAAATCATTTTCCTGGGGTGACTCTGCCCAGCAAGCCTTTGATTGTTTGAAAAAGAAGCTTAGTTGTACCCCGGTTCTAGCTTTACCAGACTTCACTCAAGAATTTCATATGGAAATAGATGCATCCGGAGTTGGAGTTGGCGCTTTCCTTTCCCAAAAGGGCCATCCTATAGCCTATTATAGTCAGAAATTATGTCCACGAATGTAGCGTGCTTCAACATATCATAGGGAGAGGTATGCCGTTACACAGGGGATGAGTAAATGGCGACAATACTTGCTGGGAAGTTAATTTACCATTATCACTGACCAACAGTCACTCAAAAATCTCACTGACCAATTCATTCAAACATCACAGCAGCAAAAGTGGCTTGGTAAGTAAGTGGAGTTTGATTTTCGTATAGTTTACCGGCCGGGAAAGATGAACAAAGCAGTTGATATATTATCTAGGCCCCCTGAAGGCTCCTTACTAGCCATAATAGCTAGTAAATTGGATTGGGTAGATGCAGTTCGTGAGGCTACCAAGACACACCCTGAAATGGTTGCCATCAGACAAGGAATTGATTTGCAATCTGAGAATTATGTTGACTCTGTATTCGGCGAAGGCCTTTAATTCTTTAAAGGCAAATTAGTTATTCCCTCTGATTTCCCTATTCGTATTCAACTTATACAATATTTTCATGATTCTCCAATAGGCGGGCATGCTGATATAGCTAGAACCTTTCACCGTCTCTCATCAAATTTTTATTGGCACAATATGTGAAGAGATGTACGAGATTTTTTGGTTGCCTGTCAAACCTGTCAGCAGATGAAGGACAATAATAGAAGTCCCGCTGGCCTCTTACAACCATTACCCATTCCAAATGTGGTTTTTGAAGAAATCGCAATGGATTTCATTACTTGTCTTCCTAGTTCTAAGGGAAAGGCCACAATAATGACAATGGTGGATCCTTTGTCCAAATATGGCCATTTCATTCCTTTGTTGGCCACTTTAACGGCCCATTCTGTTGCCATAGCTTTTGCAGCACATGTTATTAAGCTACATGGTCCTCCAAGGGTTATAGTATCCGATCGAGATCCGAGATTTCTTCATTCCTTTTGGAAAGAAATTAATCGACTGCAAGGAACAACCTTAGCCATGAGCATCGCTTACCACCCTTAGTCCGATAGCCAATCTGAGGCACTAAACAAATGTGTTGAGCAATATTTATGGTGCTTTATTTTCTAGAGTCCTCATGAGTGGGTGCCCATGTTACCTTGGGCGGAATACTGGTACACCATAACTTTTCATTCTTCTGCAGGTCTTACTCCCTTTCAAGTATTATATGGAAGGGAACCTCCTTCTGTATCTCGCTACATCTTCGGTACTGCTACAGATGATTTGGTTAAGAAATACATGCTTAGAAGGGATGAAGTGTTGACCGTGCTAAAAGAGAATCTGCAACGAGCCCAAATTCGTATGAAAACCTATGCTGATGCACACCTGACTGATCTGCAGTTGGATGTTGGTGATTGGGCTTTTGTAAAGCTCAAACCTTACCGGTAGTTGTCCCTCAGACTCTAAAATTGCCACAAACTAGGCAGGAGGTATTTTGGTCCTAATTTAGTGGTTAAAAGAATTGGTTATGTGGCCTATAAACTTGATCTTCCAGCTGATGTGCGCATTCATCCAGTCTTTCACATATCTATGCTTAAGAAGTGCATTGGGACTCCAACTGAACAAGTAACTCCATTAATTCCAATGTCAACAGAAGAACAACTACCTCTGAACCTTGAGGACCAGGTTCTCATTGGGGAGGAAAGTATTGTGATGAATCCATTGGATTAAGTTAGTGTGGAAGAGGTTGAAGCCCAACAAATGAGAGTGAAGTTGGGCCTGGGTCTGTTAGAAGAAGCTAGTGTAAAAAACAACCCAACAAGCTTTTACAAGATTATGTATTAAGTTAAAGATAAGGAAGGAACGTGTCAAGCAAAATAAAGGTTATCTGAATTTGTTATATGTGCGAGCAGTTTCAGAGTAGTGGGCAAGCAAGATGTTGTAACAGTTTTTGATTTTTATGGATTTGATGAACCGGGTGTTCAAGCCCTATTTGGATTCTCTTGTGTTTGTATTCATTAATGATATCTTGATCTACTCCCGCAGTCGAGAGGAGCATGAGCAGCATCTTCGGATTGTACTCCAGACCCTGAGAGATTGCTAGTTATATGCCAAGTTTTCAAAGTGTGAGTTTTGGTTGGGCTCAGTTGCCTTTTTGGGGCACGTCTTATCAGCAGAGGGTATAAAGGTGGATCCTAAGAATATTGAGGTAGTTCAAAACTGGCCTAGACCTACTTCAACTATAGAGTTTCGGAGTTTTCTGGGTTTCACAAGTTATTATTGCCGGTTCGTGGAGGGGTTTTCATTCATAGCAGCCTCATTGACCAGATTGACCTAGAAGGGTGCTCAATTTAGATAGTCAGATGAGTGTGAGTTGAGCTTTCAGAAGCTCAAGACTGTTTTGACTATGACGCCAATATTGGTGTTGCCCACTGGTTTAAGATATTACACGGTGTATTGTGATGCTTCTCGTATTGGGATCGGTGCGGTATTGATGCAAGATGACAAGGTAATTGTATATACGTCGCGGCAGTTAAAGGTTCATGAGAAGAATTACCATGTTCATGACTTAGAGTTGGCAGCCATTGTTCATGCGTTAAAGATTTGGAGGCACTATCTTTACGACATGTCGTATGAGGTATTCACGGATCATCAGAGTCTACAGTATTTTTTCAAACAAAAGGATCTCAATTTGAAGCAAAGAAGGTGCTTGGAGCTATTAAAAGACTATGATATCACCATTTTGTATCATCCTGGGAAGGGCAATGTGGTGGTCGATGCCTTGAGTAGAAAGGCTGTGAGTATGGGCAGCCTTGCGTATATTCCAGTTGGTGAGAGGCCGTTTGCAATAGATATTCAGGCTTTGCCCAATCAAATTGTGAGGTTAGATGTTTCAGAGCCCAATCATGTTTTAGCTTGCACAGTCGCTCGATCTTCCTTGTATGAGCGCATCAGAGAGCGTCAATATGATGATCCTCATTTGCTTATCCTTAAGGATGCGGTGTGGCACAGTAGTGCCAAGCATGTTACTGTTTTAGATGATGGAGTTTTGAGGATGCATGGTCGTATTTGTGTGCCCAATATGGATGGACTTCTTGAGGAGGCCCATAGTTCCCGGTATTCCAGTGTGGACAGGTTAATCAAGTCGGCACATTTCATTTCAGTAGCAGTTGCCTATTCTTCAGAGCGGTTAGATGAGATCTACATCCGCAAGATCGTCCATCTTCACGGTATGCCCATGTCCATAAATTCCGATCAAGGTACGTAGTTCACCTTGCACTTATGGAGGGCCGTACAATGTGAGCTGGGCACACAGGTTGAGTTAAGTACAATATTTCATTCCCAAACAGACGGACAGTCCGAGCGCACTATTCAGATATTGGAGGATATGCTTCACGCTTATGTTATGGATATTAGGGGTTATTGGGATCAGTTCTTGCCACTTGCAAAGTTTGCCTACAATAATAGCCACCAATTGAGCATTCAGATGGCTCCCTATGAAGTATTGTACGGGAGGCGGTGCCGTTCGCCAATTGGTTGGTTTGAGCCGGGAGAGGCTCGGTTGTTGGGTATCGATTTGGTACAGGATGCCTTGGACAAAGTCAAGATTATTCAAGATTGACTTTGCATAGCTCAGTCTAGGCAGAAGAGTTATGCCGACCGTAGAGTTTGTGATATTGCATTCATGGTTGGAGAGAGGGTATTGCTCTATGTTTTACCTATAAAGGGTGTGATGAGGTTCAGAAATAAGGGCAAGTTGAGCCCTAGGTATATCAGACCCTTTAAGATTCTTGAGATAGTGGGTGAGGTGGCCTACATACTTGCACTACCACCTAGTTTATCAGCAGTTCATCCGGTGTTCCATGTGTCCACGCTCCGGAAATATCATGGTGATCCGTACCATGTGTTAGATTTCAGCTCTGTCCAATTGAACAAGGATTTGACTTATGAGGAGGAGCTGGTAGCTATTCTAGCCCGACAAATCCGACAGTTGAGGTCTAAGGGTTATCTTTCAGTTCGAGTGCAGTGGAGAGGTCAGCCGATTGAGGCAGCCATGTAGGAGTCTGAGTCGGACATGCGGAGAAGATATCCACACCTTTTTAGCATTTCAAGTATTTTTCTATTTTCATTCGAGGACGAACGTTTGTTTTAGAGGTAGAGAATGTGATGACCCGATAGGTCATATTTAATTTTAACCTTCATTTATGTGTTCCGAGACCTTGAATAGCTCCATTCAGCCTTTCTCGATTTGCATGCGCATGCCTTATTTTTTTCTGGAAATTTTGTGTGTGAAAAAATAGAGAAAATATGAAATTTTGCCTTAAAAATTCATTTAAGTTGACTTCAGTCAACGTTTTATGTAAACAGATCTGGATTAGTGTTTTGACGGTCCTGCTGGGTCTGTATCGTGATGTGGGACTTGGGCGTCTGCCCGGAATCGAATTTGGAAATTCCTTGCTTGATTTAACGCCATTTATCGAAAACTAGAAATTTAAAGGTTTAAAGATTTTAAAGTTTGACTGGAAGTTGACTTTAATGATATTGGGGTTGAAATCCAATTCTGGAAAATGTAATAGGTCCGTAATATCATTTATGACTAGTGTGCAAAATTTGAAGTTAATCAGAGTTGTTTTGCTATGAATCGACATTCGTTTTGAAATTCGAAAGTTCATTAGTTCCTTAGACTTGAATCGATGTATGATTCGTGATTTTAGTGTTGTTTGATATAATGTGAAACTTTGAGAGTGTTCATATGATGTTTTAGGACTTGTCGGTATGTTTAGTTGAGGTCCCGGGAGCCTCGGGTATAATTCGGACCATGTCAGTGCATTTCAGAATTCTTGAAAACCGTTGAACCTGCTGCTACTGGTTTCCTTCTTTGCGTTCACGATGGAGGTCGTGCGTTTTCGAAGGACAGGTAGGCGAGATCGTTCTTTGTGTTCGTGAAGGTAGGCACACGTGCACGAAGGCAGTAGAAGTTGCTCACCGTGTTTGCGAAAGAGGGGTCGGTTCGCGAAGAGGATTTTGGCAGTTGTGCACATTTGTGCATCGTGAACGCGAGGCTCATTCCGCATTCGCGACCAATGAAATATGGGTAGTAAATTTTTGTGCTTCGCGAACGCGAGGCATTTTCCGATTTCGCGAAGAAGGAATCTCTGGACAGCAGAATAAACTCCAAAAACGAGACTTCGTCTCATTCTTCCATTTTTGCGATATAGAGCTCGATGAGAGGCAATGTTTCGGGAGATTTTCAAGGAAAACATTGGGCTAAAAATTCCTAACTCAATTTTGGTTAAAGTACATGAATCTATTATTGTTTTTAGCATTTAATTGGTGTTTTAAGTTGAAATCGTTTGAAAACCCATTTGGCTAAATTTGAGGATTTGAAGGCCGAGTTGTGATCAGAATCTAATAATTTTGGTATGGTTGCACTCGTCGTTGAATGAGGGTGGGTCCGGATTTCGTAATATTTTTGAATTTCGTGACGTGGGCCCTACGTTGACTTTTCCAGTTGACTTTTTATTTCTTTGCAAATATCGTAATTTTTATTGTTCGAATTAGTTTCCTATGGTTATATTTATAGTATTAAATTATTTTGGCTAGATTCGAGCCTTTTGGAGTTGGATAATCGAGGAAAAGGCTTACTAGTGGATTGAGTTAGCGTGATTTGAGGTAAATGTTGGGTCTAACCTTGACTTGAGGGAATAGGGATCCTTGAACTATGTGCTATGTGAATTTCATATGTAGCGGCGTATATGTGAGGTGACGTACGCCGTCAATTACTTGTTTCTATGTCTACCCGTATTTCATTAATTATATTATTCCATGTTTTGATTGTTACGTGCCTTAATTGCTTCCTATGCCTTAACTTGCTACTTGTCATTTATTATTCTCGTATTATAAATGTAATTTTATTCCATGTTTTTATGCTTAATTGATAATTGCCATAATTGTCTTGTTTGTACCCTTTAACTGCCATATATTTGACTTGTCTTGTTGCTCAGTATTAATTATAGCCTTTCATGATTTGGTATGAAATTCCCTTCTTGATTTGTGGCTTTCATATTCGTTTATCGTATAAATTCTTGTGATTCGAGTTGTTAAATTGATTGCACTTGTTGATTTATTTATGAATCGAGTTGCACGCCGCAACAGGTGAAATAAGAGTAGATTGATATGGTGAAATATGGGAGAATTATGATATTGACTATGGTTATATGGTGGGATCGGGTTACGCGCCGTAACATATATTTACTTATTATTATTATTGATATTTACATGGAGGAATAAGTGAAAACTGTGTGGTACGGTGGGATCGAGTTGTACGCCGCAACAATTTATGTGCTTTATATTCTCTGTTGTATTGTGTTGGCTTCGGTGCTTTCATACGAGACTTTGAGGATTGGTATGTCTAATTTTTTACTGGATTTCGAGGATTGATTTATTTTTATGAGTTAACTGCTTTATTTTCCTGTATGTTTCTTTCATGTCATTATTTTTATATACTGCGTACATGTTATTGTAAGTGGCCCGCCTTAGCCTTGTCACTACTTCGTCGAGGTTAGACTTGGCACTTACAAAGTACATAGGGTCGGTTTTACTCATACTCCACTCTGTACTTCTTGTGAAAATTTTGGAGTTGGTCCCAGCGGCGGTCAGTTGATTGCTCGATTGACTATTGGGTGGAGACTTGAGGTGCAGCTGCCCGGCGTTCATAGCCCTGAAGTCCC